CTTCTCTCCAAACACAAAGTTTCATTTATTAATTTTTTGACTTTTTACCCGTCTCTCTGTTGAATGGAGCCGTAAACGGCGCAGGGTGGCTTTCTGTTTAGCACTGAACCACAATTTGGCGACCTGAGCAAGAAACCAGAGGTGGAGGTACAAGCTTTCCCAAGACACGCCCCCTTCTTCTTCTGATTGGCTAATACTGTTAGTTTCAGGGCGCTCCTTTGCTACCATTGGCTGACAAACGTAAGAGGGACATTTTTATTTTTACCATCAATTTATTTTGGAGTGATGGAATACTTTAATCCCTGCGTCTATCAATAGACGCAAAATATTGATTTATTTATTTATTGTTATTGAATTATAGTCCAGCTCCAGTTTGGACTCATTTAAAAGCAGATCAAGACATTCCTAATTAAACAGAGTTATTCTAGTCAATTTATTACTTCTAAGCTGCATTTTATTTATTTCTACGCTAGAACTGTTCTGTTTAGTCTCCATTGATAACCGGCCATTAGAATGATTATTCTGGTTGAAGTCAATCTGGTTAATTATGTCTGGAAAATCAAAAAGTTTAACAAACACGTTTGCTCTTAAACAAGACGTTCCCAGAGAGAAACTCCTGCTCCCCTGCCAGGCAGGACCTATCAACGAGATCACATAAATAAACACGGCGCTCCAAATAAATCGCAGTGACTCCACGGAGCAGCCAAAGAGAAAAAAAAACATTTTAGATTAGCAAAGCCAGCGGCTGCCTTCTAGATTATCTGGGACAGCTTTAAAAAAATAAAACCTTTGTCAATAAATCATTAAGAACTCATCTGCAGAAGAAACAGTCCTCTGCGCCTGGGAGAGACGACGCGTCATTACAGGCAGAGAGGAGGGAGCTGGGAGGTTAAAAGGACAGAAGAACGTAAAGAGAAGGAGATAAGTGGGAGATGACAGGAGGAGGAGGAAGGAGGAGAAATAAGAGGAGAAGCAGTTTATTTTCTGGTGTTTATATCCTCCAGGTTCTTAATGCCCTTTCAGAGGTGAGCGAGTGTGCCTGCCTGCAGGTGTCAAGCCCGCTCCACCATGTCGGGTCGCCATGAATCAATTACAGCTTCTCCTCCAACAGGCAGCAATTAAATGTAAATGAATCCAATGATATGGACAGGTGATAGAAGAGAAAAGCTGTCCAAGTCTCCCAGAATATCTACATCTGAACTCCACTGGATCCCCATGCAGGGATGAAACACGTCTTATTTCAGGCTGGGCTCATTAATAGGATGATTTATTCACTTTGGTTAAATCTTTAATCTGTCTGAAGCACATCCAGGGAACTCTTCCTAAGCAGGGTGCGACAGGAACGCCTCCACAGAGGACCTGCAGGCAGCCCTGCCGTTAGAGCTCCGATCTACGGTTAGCCTCCTCAGACGGCCCACCGAGGAAGAATTGGACCAAAAGACAAAATCATTTATGTCCAAACTAAGTCTACATTTGGTTGGAAAGTGAAAGGCAGTTGAAAAAATGTTAAAAACTGGGTTCGTAACGTCTTTTCAACATCTATTATTGGACTGAAGTGGGACAAAAACAGAACAAACAGACACATTTTGAATACCCATTTCTGGACTAAACTGACCAGACATCTAAATCACCTCTGGTGTTTGACTCTGGGTGGTTTACTGTGGCTCTGAACTTCCCACAGAACAAGATGGGGCTCGACTTCTAGCAGAATTAACACTCAGACGGTCAACTGGGTCCAGATAAGGTCTAAAACGCCCGACACAGATTTTAGGCTACTCAGAGTCAAAGACAAGCAGTAACACACCAACATCAGGGCTGTTTGTTTAGATAAGGGTGAAAAACCTTAAGTCAGACTTAGATAAACTCCTCTGGCCTTCAGTGAAACAATATCAAGTGTTGATCCAAATCCTGGATCTGCCTAACAATACCTTCATTATTCTAGATAAGAACTAAACCGTCTCAATCTGAACTCCTCTGCTGCTGTTAGGTGAGTTATAAAGGTCAGGTTTATGTATACAAAGCAGAACGTGCTGATCAGGCTCATCAGACCAGAGGAATGTTTTTGAAATAAAGAACTTTAAAGCAGGGATTGCATCTTTTTTCTTTGTTTCAATTTTATAGAAGATTCTAATCATAAACGATTTGTTAATGTTCAGAAAAAGGTGGAATTCCTCATAATGAAAAAAAAATTCCCATGGGTTTTCCAAACCGCAGATTTTCCAAAGTCCATCTTTGACATAAAGTGTGTACAGTATCTAGTGTGTAGAGTCAGTTTGTTGAAAAGCTCAGTTTCCACAGAAAAAATATTCTCCAGGACCTACAAACAATTATCTTTTCTTTTCAATTCAGTTTCAGAATGTAAACGCTGTTAGATTTGTTCCACCTCCTAAACACCAGGTTCTAACTCCGTCTCTCTTCTGACACCATTTACTCCAAAACAGGATCCAGTTTTTGCAAACTAGAACTTTTTGGTAACTAAGTTCTGAGATGAAACCCGGTCTGGACCTCATTAAAAGCACAAATCCATCCCCATGAAGCCATCTGCAAGATTTATTTTCTTGTATTAACCTTTGTTCTTCACTGACGAGGATTTAGTGGGCTTTATAGATAGAAACTCTTCAGGCCGTATCTCCTTTGTTCTTAATCTCATTTGTTGAAAATAAATGAGATTATCCAAAACTATTTCAGCTGATTACACAGCGCAGAATTATGAAGCCAACACAGACATGGAAAATCAAACCTGATTCTCATGTTTTCCAGTTCAAGCTCTGCTGTTGCAGCAGAAATATTATATTTCTTTGATCCATGCAGTGGTGTTTATATATGACCATAATTATCAGCATTAGAAGAGTTTTGTTTTAAAGAAAAGAAGATAATCAAAATCCACAAAAGACTCAAAACAAAACAAAAATTAAAAGAAAGAAACCAAATCTATCAAAATAAATTGTAGCTGAAGGCAGGCATTTAGTTAGGGATATTTCATAGGGTGTACGCCTTGGTGTATAACATCTTTAGGCATTTCTGTAGGTCCGACGGGGTTAGCTTCCCCCAGAAAATGTTGATATTTAGAATCTGAAATGCTATTTCCTGCATTTTGAGGTGGACTGCAGCTAACTTTTTGTCTTTGGTCAAACACTACTTTGGTCCTAATTGAGGGAAGTATGTGTGCTTGACTAGAGGTGGAAATTTCATAAGGAAGATATGAGATATAATGTTTCAAAGGTTAAATGAAACATTTAGAAAGTCTAATGC